AGGGAAGGGAGGAGGGAAGGGAGTGTACCATTGTGTGTGGGTGTGTGGGTGTATGGGTGTATGGGTATGTGGGTGTGTGGGTGTGGGTGTGTGGAGAGGAGGAGTGGCTGAGGCTGGAGTCGGGTGCCCGATGGCGTGGCCTCTCACGGGTGGTCATCGTTTCATCCGACATGACCAAGAAGAGCACAGCGGGTCACATTGCCATGATCAACCCCCCCCTCACCCCCTCCCTCCCCCTCTCCCCTCCCCCCTCCTCTCCCCATCCATCCATCACATATCATCAATCATCAATCATCACTCATCAATCCCACTCTCAAGACTCCCCTCCTCCTCTTCTCCCGTGCCTCCCTTTCGGCCAATGATTGGCACACTGGTACACTGGTTGACAAAAGGCTGAAGAAGGCCGCCCCCCTGCCCCCTGCCCCCTGCCCCCTGTGTCCCCTGCCCCCCCCCCGCCCGCTTGGACGACGACAACCTTTCTCACTCGCACCATGGTTGACTACTCCAAGTGGGACAACATCGAGCTCTCTGACGACGAAGAAGTGTCTCCCTATGTGGACAGAGACTCGTTCATGGCTGTTCGTCGCCAGCAAAAGGAGCATGAGCGTCAGATGGTTGCGTACGTATCCCATGGGGGTGCTGGGTGAAGAGGAGGAGGGGGGGGGGGGTGCCTTCACGAAGGCATGTCCTAGGCAGGGGACTGACAACACAGGCATTGGATTGGGGTGGGTTGAAGGAGGTACACAGGCAAGAGGAGCAGATGCGGGAGGAGAACAAGAAGGCTATCAGCAAGCTGCTGCTGAAGCTGACGGAGGAGAGCCTCGACGCAGAGACCAAGGACGGGCTCAAGACCGAGTTGGAGGAGCGGCAGAAGGCCGAGGACGTTTACGCGGAGCGGGCGGCGGAGCGGGAGAAGAACTTCAAGTGGAACGCAGACAACATGTGCACCACAAAGTGGGAGTCAACTCTCATCAACAGGGGCAAGTCTGCCGACGAGCAGGAGGCTGAGCTGGTTGGCGAGGCCAAGGCGCTCAAAGAGCTCCGTGTCGCACGCGCCGCTGCTGAAGGCGCCGCTGCTGCTGCTGGCATCTCGCCGGACGCCCTGCTGCCGTCGGGCGAGATCGATCCGGCCGCCGCCGCTGCTGCTTCTTCTGGTGCTGCTGCTGCACCGACACCGGGTACTGGTGGAGAGGACGAGCCCGCTGCTGCTTCGGACGACGCCGACTCGGAGCTGCAGCTCCTCATCGACATGGTCGGCTCGGTCCCGCGCGGCAAGTTTGAGCGGCTGCAGGAGATTCTCAAGAGGCACGCCAAGGCGCTGATCAACAAGGACATGGCCGATCATCTCTCGATTCTCGGCATCCGCGCCATCAAGGCCGGCGACCACAAGGCTGCCAAGCGCTGGGTCCACCACTCGTACGTCGTGCAGTACATTCTTGCCATGGGCGGGCCGTCGGGCGCCAACCAGTTTTTCGGCATGATGCTCTCCGGCAACAAGCAGGCCGTCGCCGCTTTTAATGACGACTGGAAGAACAACTACCAGAAGCTCGTCGCCGCCGTCGAGGAGGAGCTCGCCAACGCCGACGACGATGAGGCCATCGAGACCGAGGCCGCCGCTGCCGCCCCAGTTGCCGCCGAGGGCCTCACTCCCGAAGAGCAGGAGGCCATCGCTCAGACCGAGGAGTACCAGGCTTACGCCGCAGTCATGGACACCCTCCCTGAGGCTCTCCGCGATGCCATTCTCTCCGGCGACGTTGCCGCTGTCCGCGACACCCTCAAGTCGATGGACCCAGTCGAGGCGTCGGCTGCCGTCGAAAAGTGCAAGTCGGTCGGCATCCTCGGTTGAACCGAGCCGTATAAAGTCATGGAACACGAATATGGTCACCTTGCTTTGTTCGACAATCTACGGCACTCAATGCCCAAGGAATGGCTGGCTCAGCTCGCGCGGCGTGAGCTTGCGCGGCGTGCGCGGCGGCGTGCCGACGCCGGCGGCGCTTGCGCTTGCCGACGCCATCATCGAATTGAGCTGGCTCTCAAACGCCGGCAGCGTGTCGTGGAGCGTCCGAAGCGTGGCCTCAAACTTGGCCTTCTTCGCGCGGAACTCGTTGACCTCGTCCTTGAGCACCGTGTACGCGTTCGACTCGAGCTCGGCCACCCGCGCCTTGAGCGCCGCAATCTCGTCGGCTTGCTTGGCGTTGATGTCGGCAAAGTTGCGCCGGGCGGCTTCGAGCTCGGCGTCGCGGGTGCGAAGCACAGCTTGCAGGACGTCAGGATCACGCGCCTCGAGAGAGTCGTGTCCCCACAGCTCAAACTTGAGTGAGCCCGTGCCAAGCTGCGCCACCAGCGACTTTGAGAGCGGCATGACAAATGACTCGAAGTACGCCAGCGGCGTCTCGCTCGCCCTCTTGCTCGAGACCGACTCTTGCAACGAGACTGCCTCTGTCCGCGGCGTCACCTCCTCGGAGCCTTCGGGGAAGAAGAACCGCACAAACATGCCTTCGTCAAACTCGCAGGTCACCTCGCGGATGCCGGCGACCGAGATGTTGACCGCCACCAGCGAGCCGATGGTGTCTTTGGTGATGAGCAGCGGCTTGGCTTGTGCGAGGAGCACCGGCGACGGCGTCGAGTCCAATGGCGCGGCCACGACCGAGAGCCGGAGGTGGACTTCGCCCCGGGCCTCGTCGAATCGACCAAAGGTGGCCGGAAACCAGCCGTCGATGACGCCGTGGCTGAGTAGCGGACCCAGTGCCACTGTCGCCGTCCCGATCAGTTGGTCCGACGGCGGGTCAAAGAACGGGTCGTCTTCAGCCGGCACGTCCCACGATCCGGTCTGCCCGTAAATCTCCATGTACTGCTGGATGGCGGCAAAGCGGTTGTCGAACTTTTCCACGCTCCAGAACTTGGTCGAGTCGGTGAGCAAGTTTGTGGCCCGGATGCCGACCTCGCGCTTGCCGTCGTCGTTGTCGTGGAGCTCGACCGAGAATATCATTTTCTTCTTCAACAGCTCGGCCACGTCGTTGGCCTCGTCGGTGGCCTCGACCAGCCGCAGAATGAGCCCGGCCTCCGAGTCCGGATCGACGTCGACGCTCTGCCCGCGGGCGGCGAGGAACTCGCGCATGGCAAACTCAAAGCCGCCTGCCAGCTCGGGCGGCAGCTTGCCGTCCGACTCGGCCAGAAGCTGCTCGAGCTCGGCCGGGTTGGTGTAGCGGAACAGGTAGTTGTTGCCAAGAATGATGCGGTGGCCGGTGGCGAGGACCGCCGGCTCGGTCACCTGCTCGCCGTTGACAAAGGTCTTGGCGTTTGCAGCCGGGTGCAGTATCATGCTGCCATCGGCGGCGGCCTCGATGGTGCAGTGCTCGTCTTGGATGTTGAAGCCTGAGAGGACAATGTCCTGCGGGACGCTCGCAGTCGCCTTGCCGATCCGGGTCACGTTGTCATTGAGAAAGTAAACCAGGTTCTCGGACATGAGCGGGTCGGCATTGAGGTTGACCAGGTGCGGTGTCGACTTATCCACGCCGAGCGCCCCAGTGAGCTCGACCATGGAAATGCCCATGTCGGCCAGCGCCTCGCTCCGCAGCCGATTAATCTCCTCAGTCCGCCGCTCCTTCTCGGCAACCGTCATGGAAAGCTCGGCGATGAGCGCCTCGTTCTCGGCGAGCCGACTGGCGGCCTCCTCCTGCGCCAGCCGGTCCTGGGGCGACGCGGCAGTCCCGGTTCCGCCTCCGCCCGACGACGCCGCCAGTAGCTCTTTGAGCCGAAGGACCTCGGCCTGCAGTGCGTCGACCGCCGCAGCCTTGACCTCTTCGTTCTTGCGCGCCGAGTTGACAATCTGCTTGGCGCGGTGCGCATACTTCAGCGTCGAGAGCGACTCGTCAAAGTTATCGGCTGCCGGCGAGACTGTGGCAATCATGACCGTCTTTGAGTTGCCGCCGAGCGACTCTTGCAGCAGGCGCGTGAGTGCCGAGTCGCGGTACGGCACGTACTTGTGCTGCCGCCGCGGGCGGTGTGAGTTGTCGGCGAGGACCGAGATGACGTTGCCCAGCGCCGAGAGCGACTTGTTGATCGAGCACGCTTCCTTGAGCCGCTCGCCTTGGGCCTGCGTGTGCTTCTGCCGCTCCGAGCCGGCAAGGTCAATGAGCGAAATCTTGGAGAACGTGCTCTCCGAGCCTATGCTTGTCTCGGCCTCCTTGCTAAAGTAGATGGTGAAGACCGAGTGCGACCGCGAGGAAGTGTCGTTCATCTTGGTCCGGGCCACCGTCCGCGACCGGTTTCCGGCGTTGATGGCCTTCTCGATGTCGGCGTACGACTTGACCAGGATCTTGGAGAGGCCCACAACATACACGCCCAGCTGCGGGTTCTCACGGATGGTCAGGTGCGAGCCCGAGTGTTCACCGGCTCGGTGTGCCCCAGGCGACTCGACTCGCTGCAATCCGCTCAACGTGCGCGTCGCGCCGAGCCGCGGGCTCAGCAAGTCGCGGATGTTCTCGTTGTAGATCTCCAGATACGAGACCTCAACCGACGCGCCCGAGACCTGGGCATCAGCCTCGGCCGCCGCCAGCCGCTCAAACAACGCTTCGCAACCGCGCGGAATGAGGCCTTTGGCCTCGCCGTAGCCCATCATGGTGTACGACTTGCCTGATCCGGTCTGTCCGTACGCAAACATCGAGCAGTTGAAGCCCGACCACGCGTGCTCTATGAGCGGCCGTCCCAGCGCCTCGAAAACATCCTCCTGCGAGGCAAACGCCGGTGATGCTGGCTGCGACGAGTCAAACGAATAGTCGTATGTGTACTCATGCTTCGCCCGCTCGTTCTCCACATCTTCGATCGCCGTCGCAGCGCCGTACATAGAGATGACCGACGTCGATCCGAGTGCCAGTTCCCTGCAGTCCACGATCGAGCTAGTTAGTCTACGGGTTCATCCACACTACAGCCACAGCCGCATACCGTCACCACTCCTTTTCCCTCTCCCCGATCATCCCGCCCATTGCCGTACCGCTCGTTGAAGGGTCGGACGCGGACAGCGACACGAACACACTCTCCAGAGCTCTTGCCGCTGCCCCCACGCGGCGAGCCGAGACTCCGCGACGACGACGACGAGTTGATCAGCTTATGTGGGGTGGTGCCTGACATGCCAAGTCCTTTCACCCTATAAGTGCGGTGTTGGAGTCTGGAGTCTGTCACTCGGTCTCCTCCCGCAGCCGTTGCTCCTCTGCTGTCCTCCTCGCCGTTCAACATGCTATCCGCCAACAGTCGTCGGTTGCTTGCCTGTTGCCGGTTTTTGCGGCAAAAACAATCGTTGATGCCATCAATTACTATTGTTCCGCATGGCAACCCCAATTGTTCGTTGACCATCCATGCCAAGACAAAGACTCCGCTGCAAGCTGGCCATGGCTGACCGACCGCCCCGACTGCCCCACCGCCCGACCGACCGACCGACCGACTGTCTCGCCCCGCTCAAGCCTGAGCCCTCAAGACCAAGCCCTGACCGAGCTCGTACTCATGAGTAACCACACTTTACCCTTGCCCTCCTCCTCCCCCTCCCCCCTCTCTCCCTCACACACAATGCTGCGCTGGCGAGGCTGGAGTGTACGAGTCGGAGCATGGTGCTGGCGGAGTGTGGCATCGCAGGCAAGAGCGCGAGCGAGCTTGGGCGGAGCGGTTCACAGAAAGGGTGATGGAGCTGGAGAAGCTGGAGAAGCTGGAGAGGCTGGAGAGGCTGCTCGGATGACGACAACGAGTGGTATCGAGCTGCGGCCGTACCAGAAGACTGCCGTGGCGAGGTCACTGGCGGCGTTTGCAAGCGGGGTGCGGCGGCAGGTAGTCTCGCTACCGGTCGGCTCGGGCAAGACGGTCATCTTTGCGGCCCTGCTGGACGCCCTGCCGCCGCCGACGCCTAAAGCGACCAAGACACTTGTCCTTGCGCACCGGGTGGAGCTGCTGCAGCAGGCGCGCGACCGCATCGCGGACGCTCATCCAACGCTGCGGGTAGAGATCGAGCAGGGCGAGGCGAACGCGTCGCGCGACGCCGACGTTGTCGTCGGTTCGGTGCCGACGCTCGGCAGGGCATCGCAGGCGGCGCAACTGCGGCTCAAGTATTTCGATCCAGCCGAATTCAAGCTAATCATCATTGACGAGGCACACCATGCCACAGCGCCGACGTACACCCGCATCCTGGACCACTTTGGCCTTGCCAAAGACTCTGACGAGGGACTAGCCGTACCGGGCCCGCCGCCAACTGCGCCCACACTGCTATGGGGCTGCTCGGCGACGGTGCGGCGGCACGACGGGCTCGGGCTTGGCGCCGTCTTTGATGCCATCACCTACCACCGCTCAATGCTCGAGATGATGGACGAAGGCTGGCTCGCGCCGCTCAAGGTTTTTACCGTCAAGACCACCACCGATTTGTCTGCGGTCAAGTCGTGGGGCGGCGACTTTGCGCTCAGCCACCTCGCAGCGCACGTCAACCGGCCAGATCGCAACGCCATTCTCCTCGAGAACTGGCTTGCGTTGGCAGCGGCGCCGCCGGCCGGCCTCACCCTCTCGTCGACGCTCGTCTTTGCCGTCGACGTCCAGCACATCCTCGACCTACAGGCGGCGTTTGCCGCCGAAGGCATCGACGCACGGTATGTCCACGGCATGACGCCACCTGCAGAACGCGCCGCCCTGGTCGACGCCTTTCGAGCCAAGGAGTTTCCGGTGCTCATCAACTGCGGCGTCTTCACCGAGGGCACCGACATCCCAATCATCGACTGCGTCGTCCTCGCACGGCCAACAAAGTCACAAGGGCTGTTCCAGCAAATGCTGGGGCGTGGCCTCCGGACGGCGCCTGGCAAGACCGCGTGTATTGTGCTTGATGTCGTTGACAGTTTTGCCAACAAGGCCAAGTCGCGTGGCCTGGTGACCCTCCCGTCACTTCTCGGCCTCGCGCCCGATTTTGCGCTGGTGAACCAAGACCTGGCGCAGCTGGCGCGCGACCTCGCGCCACTGGACGATCTTCCGCTCGGGCCGTCGGTCCGCGAAGCGGCGTCGATGGACGAGCTTCGGCTTGTGCGCGAGCTCGAGCTTGCGCGGGTCGATCCGTTCGACCCGCGGCTGACTCCGGCCACCGCTCACAGCGAGCCCGGTCATGCTCGCAGCGCCGACGTTGACTCGCAGATCATCTTTGAGGTCTCCCAGAATGCATGGGCCAAGACTGGGGCGCGGACGTTTGAGCTCTCGCTCGGCACGCCCGCCATGGGCTCGCTGCACATCCACCACGAACTAGACCCGGCCCCGGGCTTGTACACCGTCTCGCAAACATACCGGGTCCCGGACACGTACATCACCAAGACCCGCGATCTGCCGCTGACGGCGTCGTCGCTTGAGGATGCACTTCGCGGCGCAGACACCTACCTCCGCGCCCAGTACCCGGGCATGTTTTCGGTCTTTAAGCGCAACGCGCCATGGCGCAACGGCCCGGCCTCCGACGCCCAGAAGAAGTATCTCGTCCGCCTCGGCTTTCTCAAGGCGCGCAGCCAAGCCGAGCTCGATTGCCTTTCCAAGGGCCAGGCCCAGCTTGTCATCTCGCGTATCAAGCAATATCACGCCGATGCCAAGTCGTTTGGCCTCTCGCCAGCTCTTCCTGGCCTTGCCGCCACCAAGTGACCGAAGCCCACAAGCACCCAATCAAGCGATGCCCCCTCCCCTCTTGTCGCCATGATGGCCCCCCTAAAAAAACGTCGCTGCGGTTTGCACCCATGCCAGCCTCGATCGTGGGGCCGTGGGGGGTAGAATCGTACGCCGGCAACTGACGGTGGCAGTGGATAGCGAACGAGCGTCCCCACCACCACTTGGTCAGTGGGCGTCCAGCCGCAAATTGGGCGTTGGGACGCAGCACCCGACGCACGCAGCCCGAGAGTCTTGGAAAGGCCCAAGACCTTTGTGTAGCGTAGCAGAGTAAGTGTATCCATGATTTTCACGGCCTCCCTCGCCGGTGCCTGTTCTGCCTCTTCCCCCCCCCCTCTCGCAGGTTGCCCCCTTCCCCGCCTCTCCCCAACCAGCTCCTCCTCATCCCCGGGCTCAAGCCCCCCCTGGGCAAAAAACCGCAATGGGCGACCCGTCGGTACACAGCCGCTATCCATGACCAAGACAGCGACATTTTTGCAGACACCTTCATCCCTACCCTTGTTATGTCGTGTGCCTTGAGTCCCCTTTGCCTCTTCCCGTACCCCTTCCTGCCTGTCTTCCACCTCCTCATCCCCTCCCCTGCCCCCTCCCCTCCCCTCTCCCGTCTTCCTTCCCTGACTTTCGCTGCTGCCTACCACCACTACCTTTTATCCCGCTGTTCGTCACCGCAACTTCTTCCTCAAGTGTCACCCCCCCCCCCCATCCACCCGGAATGCCCCCGCATAGGTCGCACAGCAACCCCGCACAACACTACACACACACCACATCACACCACACATATACATACATACATACATACATACATACACCGTGTGGGAAAGGAAAGACATACTCTCTCTTTTTTACATACATCCCGCTTCTCCCTCACTCACACTCTCGCTCTCTTGCTGCACCTCCTCTCGTCTGTAGGTGATGTCGGCAAATGGGCAGCAGGGCTCTGCGCCCACGCCAGCTCCGGCTCCGGCTCCGGCTCCGGCTCCGGTCCCAACTCCGGTCCCGGTTTCGGCGTCAGCTCCGGCTCCAACTCCAGCTCCAATCCCTATGAGCGCGCCGACTCCGGCTCCGATCCCAGTCCCGGTCCCGACGCCTGTGCCGGAACAGGCGCCGACGCCGGCCCCGGCCACGGCCCCGGCTGCCGCGCACAGCCAGCCGGTTCCCATGCAGATTTCACCGGCCCAGGCCCAGCAAATGGCCCAGGCCCAGTCGCAGCAACTCTCCCAGTTCCAGGGCCAGAGTGAACAGCATGCTCACCATCTCGCTCAAGCCCACCGCGCACAGCAGCAAATCGCAGAGGCGCAGGCTCAAGCACAGGCTCAGGCCCAAGCCCAAGCTCGTGCCCAGGCACAGCAGTACCTTCAGCAGCAGGCCCAGGCTCAGGCTGATCAGCAGGCCCAGGCTCAGGCTCAGGCTCAGGCCCAACTCTACCTCCAGCAGCAGGCTCGGGCTCAGGCTCAGGTGGAGCAGCAGGCACAGGCCCAGGCCCAGGCCCAGGCCCAGGCCCAGGCCCAGCAGCTTGCACAGCAGCAGCTCGCACAGCAGCAGTATCAGCTTGCGCAGCAGCAACAGCAGCAACAGCAACAGCAGCAACAACAACAACAGCAGCAGCAGCTCGCCCAGGCTCAAGCCCAGGCTCAGGCCCAGGCTCAGGCCCAGCAGTCGGCGCAGGCCCAGCAGTCGGCGCAGGCCCAGCAGTCGGCGCAGGCCCAGCTCCAGCAACAGCTCCTCCTCCGCCAGCAGCAGGCCCAACTCCAGCAAGTTCTTCAGACGCCCGGTGTGACTCAGGCGCAGATCCAGCAGCTGCGCCTTTTGCATTATCAGCAGCAGCTTGTCCTCCAGAAGCAACAGGCGCAGGCGCAGGCGCAGCAATCGTCGCAGCAGACTCATGCAACCCAGTACCAGTCTCAGCTCCAGGCGCAGATGCAGGCGCAAGAGGCCCAGCGTGCCCAAGCCGCGGCGCGCCAGGCTCAGCTCCAGCTCCAACTCCAGCAGCAGCAGGCTCAGCGACTGCAGACCGAGCGCCAGGCGCCGCCGGTTCCGGTTCCGATCCCGTCAAGCGGCCACTCTGCAGCGAGCCAGCACGGCTCGTCGTTTGAGACCAAGCCGATCCTGCCGACGTCGTCGACCGGGCGGGCGCCAATTCTGGCAAGCTCGCTGGCGGCGGCGGCGGCGGCTGGCAAAAAGAGAAGAAGTCCAAGACAAAGAAGAAGAAGAAGAAGGCCAAGAAGGCTGCCGCTGCCGCCGCTGCTGCTGCCAAGAAGGAAGAAGGAGGCGCGCGGTTCTCGCGGACGGGGCGCGCACAGCGCTCGTCCCGCAAGGTGTACAAGACGTACTTTGACTCGTTCTCCGAGTCTTCGTCGGGCTCGTCCAGCTCGTCTGGCGACTCCAGCTCGTCGGACGACTCGAGCTCAAGCTCGAGCTCGTCTAGCTCGTCGTTTGGCGCCGCCCGGCGGCGCAAAAAGTCGACAACGGCCAAGCGGTCCAAGAAGAAGGGCCGCGGCGCCAAGACGGCGTCGAAAAAGTACGCAGCGATCGAGCCGTCGTCGATGATGGCCGAGTCGCGGATCCAGCACATCCTCGCCCGGCGCCAGCAGTCGGACAAGCTCCAGGCCGAGCTCAAGGCGCTGCGGACGCAGCAGATCCGGGCCGGCATGACGCCCAAGTCGCCCGAGAAGCCGTTCAAGGCGCCGCCGCCGCCGCCGGTCGGCGTCGAAGGCCCTGACGACGAGGAGTTCCTTGTCAAGTACGAGGGCAAGTCGTACCGGCAAGTCGAGTGGGTGCCCAAGTCAGCAATCATTGCCCTCCGCAACGGCAAGACGCGGCTCCGCAAGTTCTACCAGAAGGAGCACGAGATGATCCTCAAGTCGATGGGCGAGTACTTTGACCCGGCATACGCCGAGGTCGAGCGCGTCATTGCGCACGACACCGTCATCCAGGCCGATGGCCGCCGCTCGACCATCTTCCTCGTCAAGTGGTGCAAGCTCTCGTACTCAGAGGCGACGTGGGCGTACGAGGACGAGGTCGATGACGCCGACGCCATTGCGCTGTACTGGGAGCGGTGCAAGGTGCCGTCGCATCTCGAGCTCCAGATTGCGCGCAACTACGGACGCCATCTCCCGTTCATCCCCGACCGCGAGTCGCGGACGTACAAGAACGGCAACACGCTGCGCTCGTACCAGGTCGAGGGCGTCAACTGGCTCTCCGCCAAGTGGCACGAGGGGACCAACGCGATTCTAGCCGACGAAATGGGCCTTGGAAAGACTGTCCAAGTCGCCGCCACCATCAACTACCTCTACGAGGTCCAGAAGCAGCGCGGCCCGTTCATTGTTGTCGCCCCGCTCTCCACCATCCGCCACTGGCAGCGCGAGTTTGAGGGCTGGACGAACATGAACTGCGTGGTGTACCACGGGCTCGGCGACGCCCGCGCCCACATCCGCCAGCACGAGTTCTTTTACAAGACCGAGTACGGCAAGCCGATCAAGACGCTCCTCAAGTTCAACGTCATGGTCACCACCTACGAGATGATCATTGCCGATGCCGAGTACCTCCGCGACCTGCCGTGGCAGTACCTCGTTGTCGACGAGGCCCACCGTCTCAAGAACGTCAACTCGAAGCTCATGACCGTCCTGGCCGACTTTAAGTTCAAGCACATCACCCTCCTTACCGGCACGCCGCTGCAGAACAACATGGAGGAGCTTTGGTCGCTGCTGTATTTTCTGGACCCGCCCCGCTTCCGCTCGCTCGACGACTTTATGGATCGTTACGGCCACCCCGAGGAGAAGCCCGAGCAGCTTGACCATCTCCACGCCCTCCTTGCTCCGCTCATGCTCCGCCGCCTCAAGAACGACGTCGAGAAAAACATCGCGCCCAAGGAGGAGACCGTCATCGAGGTCGAGCTCACCGGCATCCAGAAAAAGTACTACCGCGCGGTCATGGAGCGCAACTTTTCGTTCCTCACCAAGGGCGGCAAGTCGACCAACGTGCCGAACCTGCTCAACGTCATGATGGAGCTCCGCAAGGTGTGCAACCACCCATACCTCATCAAGGGCGCCGAAGAGTCCGAGACCGAAAACCTCTCGACCATCAACGAGAAGTTCGAGGCCCTCATCAACGCCTCGGGAAAGATGGTTCTCATCAACAAGCTCCTGCCCAAGCTCAAGGCCTCGGGCCACAAGGTCCTCATCTTTTCGCAGATGACCCGCGTCCTCGACATCCTCGAGGACTACCTCTACTACAAGGGTTACAAGTACGAGCGCCTCGACGGCTCTGTCCGCGGCTCGGTCCGTCAGCAGGCCATCGACCGTTTCTCCGCCAAGGACTCGGACCGCTTTGTCTTTATCCTCTGCACCCGCGCCGGCGGCGTCGGCATCAACCTCACCGCCGCGGACACTGTCATCATCTACGACTCGGACTGGAATCCGCAGAACGACCTCCAGGCCCAGGCTCGCTGCCACCGTATCGGCCAGACCCAGCAGGTCAAGGTCTACCGCCTCATTACCCGCAACACGTACGAGCGCGACATGTTCGACAAGGCCTCACGCAAGCTCGGCCTCGATCAGGCCGTCCTCATGAAGATGAAGGGCGACCGAAGCGGCGCGTCGGCCTCCAAGAACTCGGAGGTCTCGGTTCGCGAGGACGTCGAGCGGCTGCTCAAGAAGGGCGCGTACGGCGCCCTCATGGATGAGGAAGACGACGAGGCTTCCAAGTTTTGCGAAGAAGACATCGACCAGATCCTCTCCCGTCGTGCCGTCGTCGTCCAGTCGACCTCGGACGAGTTCTCGTCCTTCTCCAAGGCCTCGTTCTCGTCAAACAACGACCAGTACGTGGACGACATTGACATCAACGACCCGGACTTTTGGACCAAGTTTGCCGAAAAGGCCAAGCTCAACACGGCCAACGCTGTTGAGCCCGAGAAAAACGCCTCGGACTTTAACATGGACCTCATCATCTCGGGCACCCGCCGCCGCAAGGTCCGCTCCAACGCCGCCATTCATGCTGCGACCGACGACTACTCGGACGACGAAGACTACGGCGTCGAGCGCTCGCGCGGCCGCAAGAGCTCGCGTGGGCGCGGACGCGGCCGTGGCCGTGGGCGCGGCCGTGGCCGTGGCCGTGGCCGTGGCTCGCGCACTGGTACCGGCCGCGGTGGTAAGCGGTCCGGCAAGGGCTCGCGCAGCTCCGAGAACGTGGCTTGGGGCAAGTCACATCGCGCCAAGCTCCAGAGTGCGCTCCTCGCCATCGGCTTTACCCGCTTCCCAGACATGAAGGAGGGCTGGAAGCTCCGCCACTCGGTCGAAGAGATCGAAAAGTACTGCACCGCCCTCCTCCGCCTCATTGTGGACTACTGCGACTCGCCTGACGTCCAGTTCTTTGGCCTCGAGCTGCTCAAGGACGCCAAGACCTCGTACCTGCACATGCCCATTCCCAAGCTATTCCAGGAGCCGACTTACGTCGCCTACCTCAAGCGCAAGGCCAAGACCTTCCTCCGCCGCCTCCGCAAGGTGCATCTCGTTGCAGAGGTTGTCAAGTCGTTCCCCGACTCCCCGCTGGAGAAGCTCAAGATCTACGACTCGCTCTGGGACGGCCGTATCAAGGCTGACGTCCCGCCCGCAAAGTGGTGGACGCCGCAAGACGACCGCGCACTCCTCTACGGCTCGTACAAGCACGGCCTCATGCGTTACGACCAGATCCGCACCGACCCGGAAATCGGATTCGACTCGCGCGTCTACGTCGAGCCCTCGCTGAAGGGCCGGGCCGTCACAAAGTCTCGCCTCGAGGCCAAGGCCCGCGCCGCTGCTGCTGCTGCTGCCAAGGCCGCCCGCATTGCTGCCGGCGAGGACGTCGAGGACGAGGAGGACGAGGAGGATGAGGAGGAAGAGAATGGCAAGGCCGGCGAGGACGCCGCCGGTGACGACGACGACGACGAGAACGCGCCAAAGTACACCCTTCCGCGCAAGGACGACGGCTCGGTGGACGTCATGTCCAACTACGTCACGCCTGTGCCCGAGGGCCAGAAGCCGTTCCTCTTCCCGGCCTCGTCCGTCCTCTCGGAGCGGCTCAACCGCATTCTCAAGCCGTACCTCGACGAGCGCCGCGCCAAGGTCGAGGCTGGCGGCGCCGAGCAGACCTCACGCATGCTCGTTGCCGAAAAGGCGGCCAAGGAGGAGGAGGACCGTCGCCGCCGCAAGCGCTCGTGGCGTCGGCAGACCCGCAACGCGCTCGTCAAGGCTCTCCACCGCTTTGGCCTCCCGCTCCATGTCATGCACGGGACCGAGGAGCAGATCCGCAACATGCAGGAGGAGCGCGAGCGGCTGATGGAGGCCAAGCGTAAGGCCGAGAACATGCCCACGACCGAGCACGAGCGCGGCATGGCGGCGGCCTTCCCCGGCCTCGCCGAGCAGCTGACGTCGGCGGGCCTCTCCGAGGACGGCGCCGGCGACGAGTACGACACGACACCGTTCCTGTACGATCTCCGTCTCGACTCGACCGCCATGAACATCCAGAACGAGGTCGACTGGGACTCGCTCTTTGAGCTCGCAGGCATCAAGGAGCTCTCGCCGGAAAAGAACTCGGACGACGTGAAGCGGTTTGTCGGCATCTACCTCCGTCAGGCCCGCGCCACTGTCCGCGCCAAGCGCGAGCTCACCGAGGACGACCTGGTCACCCTCAAGATCCCGGTCATCCTCGACGGCTCGTCCAAGCCGGTGCCCACGCCTTCTGTGGCCGCCGCCTCGAAGCTCCTCGAGCGCATCGAGTTCTTCCGCACCATCCGCATCGAGATTCTGCAACACCCGCAACTCGAGGACTTTCTCAACATCATCTACCGCTCGACGGCCATGCCTGGCTGGTGGAACCCTGCGCTGCACGACAAGCCCATGCTTGAAGGCGTTTGCAAGCACGGATTTGGCCACTGGTCGGCCATGACCAACGACCCGGACCTTCCGTTCCTCGCCCTCAAGACCGCGTTTTACCAGGGCATCGAGGACGTGGCCAACGGCAAGATGGAGAACACCATGATCGGCGTCGACACCGATGGCTCCATCCTCTACGCTGCGCCCGACCTCGCCTCGCTCGTCGCCAAGTGGCCGTCGGACCTGCCCTCGGCCCAGCTCCCCACCATCCTCAACCTCTCCGGCAAGCGCTTCCCCTTTGTGCGCGACAAGATTGTCACTCTCCGCGTCAAGCTCTTCAAGTCGATGCTCGCCAAGCCCAAGGCCGAGCGCGAGCGCCTCATTGTGCAGCACGAGAGCAACATGGTCTCCAAGCGCTCACAAGGCCTCTCGGCCGCCACCCGCCGCAAGAAGCTCCGCCGTTTCTTCTGCTACTTTGTCGACACCACAAAGTCACAGAAGACCGTCGGCTTCCGCCCGCCCGCTCCCGAGGTGCAGGGCGCACCTTCAGACGCGTTTGTCGCCGCCTCGGCCGGCCCCGACGACGAGCCGCCGGCAGAGGCCTCGGCCCGCATCGCCAACGAGTACAAGGAGTGCTTCGCCGCAGCCGCCTCCGAGGTCGCCTCCAACGAGGCTGGACTCTGGCTCGTCTTCCGATTCAAGCCCAAGCCCAAGCGGAAGCGCGCTCGCAAGCGCAAGCGCCCCGTCGGTGGCTCGCGCCGCGCTGCAGGCGCGGTCCGTCCCGTCCCGCGCGACGCCGCAGGCTATCCCATCCTCCCCGTCTCGCTCGGCTCGCTCACTGTTCACTCGCTCGGCTCGGTCGTCACCGACCGCTCGGCCTTCCACTCGTCGAGCTACATCTGGCCCGTCGGCTACAAGTCGTCGCGCCTGTTCCCCTCGCTCAACGACACCTCACGCCGCGTCCCGTATTACTCGGAAGTCGTCGATGGCGGCACCGGCCCGCGCTTTGTCGTCACCCCGTCCGACAAGCCCGAGCTCGCCATCACCGCAGACTCGGCATCGGGCGCCTGGGGCGCCATGCTCGCCGCAGTCAACCACGTCAAGTACCAGGGCACCGGCCGCACCCTCTCCAACTCGATCTCTGGCCCGGTCTACTTTGGCTTCTCGGACCCCACCGTCATCTCGCTCCTCCAGGCCCTGCCGGGCGTCGAATCGCTCGCCAGCTACGCCATGCGTGATCCTGCCGGCGCCGACTCGGTCCCTGACACCGACGTCGTGTACGACAACACCTACGAGGCCTCGACTGCAGAGGGCGACGTCGCCGACGACGACGCCGACGACATCATCGATGACGACGCCGACGACTCGGGCGACGACTCGGACCTCGACTCGGACCTCGACTCGGAGGATGACGATGACGACTCGGACGACTTTGACTCGGATGACCTCTCAGAGATCTCGGACCACGACTCGGACTTGGACGATGACGGCGTTGCTCCCATGGATGTGCCCAAGCTCCGCGTCAACTTTTCAGGCAAGCCGTAGTGGCGTAAACGCGTTCGCAATGTTCTCGTGCAACCAAACATGTGGCAGTAGTTTGTTTCAAGAGTGAGTGGAGCTGGCAGATACGGCCTCACTCGGGCTGTGGCCAAGGTTGATCACAGTCGTTGTCCACTCCGCCAACGGCGCAGGTTGCAACGCGTCGTCACCGCGAGATGCACGGTGCGGCTGCCACATCGCCGAGTAGCCCGCAGCGGCGCCAAGCCCCACGACAGCCACCAGGACCGTGAGCACGACTGCAAGCGAGATTCCTGCAGAGGTGTTGCGCGTCTCGAGACGGGTCTCCGCCTCACGATCAACGCGCTCAGCTACGGTCGCTACCTCGGTTCGGAACGCAGCGATGACCTGTGTAACTTCAACCTCGGCCTCGACCGGGGCCGGGGGCGGCGGCGGGGGAGGTACCGTGTCGATCAGCGGCTTGCCGACAGCTGGACCCAGCAGGTACCGCGGATCGGCAACCACCGCTGCCGAAGGCGGGCGTGCATGCGACGATGGCACCCCAATGCCACCTCCGGCAGACCAGTCGTTGTTGAGCGAGTTGGTCTGATTGGCCAGCATATCCCACGTCGAGTTTCCAAACACGGCAGTCCACACCCCGACGCGCGTGCCAATTGCCTCGACTAGGATCGCGGTCGCTCTCGTGTCCAGCTCCGAGAACCCGTAGTCGGTATAGAGGTCGAGCCCTTGCGTGTTGGAGATCTCTTCCCACATTGGCACCGCGTTCTCGGCCGGGGATGACGGATCGCAGACGCAGACTCCGGACCCACACAGGTTGCACGTCGACGAGCTCAGCTCGATGCCGCGAGCTCCGGCGCGGTGCAAGACCGAGACGACACTATCGAGGAGCTGTGACCACCGCGTGTCGGCCGGGAACACCGAGTACGCTGCATACGGAACAACCTGCAATGATAAAAGCGGCCAGCCAAACTTGAAGTGCTCCGACATGACAACTGGCGTCGAGTCATCGGGAAAGAGAGCAGAGTGGCCAAACCGGTACAAGCTGCCTTCTACCGCCGCCGAGAGCGTGCCAGTCATGGTTGAGACTGGACCGATGATGGATCGGCACACTTCAGACTTGTCCTCGAGAAGAAGAACGCCGGCAACCACGCTGTCGACAACAACAACGTCATTGGTCTTCACAAAGGGGAGATACGTCTCGACGAGATGCTCGTGTTCTGCCGTCACACACACACGGTCATCCCAATGCGACACCGACTTCAGCACCGATTCGCGGCAAGTGCCTGCGTTCGTACACCGGATGAGCAGGCCGATGGCATCGAGGAACATTGGCGGTGAGGCGTGGACCATCGATGGCGCGTACGGAAGCAGGTCAAGCGAGCCAAACACTACATCAGGCTCGGGGTGGGCTGCGTCGACCACTTCGATGGCCTTGGCGTCACCAAGAATCAGCGCAGCGAGGCCGCGGCAGACCCGGAGACCGCCCACGTGGGTGACACCTGAGAAAGGAACCTCGGCCGCAAGCAGCTCGGCTGGGTTGCTCACCATGAGCGGGCCTGGTGAAGCGGCGTAAGGATGGTCGTACATCGTCCCGTTGGCCACCGATTGCGTCGGGTCAAACGTAAATCCGCACACAATCCGTCCACGTGCCCGAATCCGGTCGATGGCGTACGCTTTGCGCGCTGCGTTGACCGGTACATGGTCACTCGCTGCAAACGGGTCAAACCCACTGTCGCCATGGCTTCGTGTCGCGACAGTCGCATGGGTCCCATTCGGGTGCGGACTAGTCGTGATGTTCGATGCCAAGCTGGCGGCAGCGAGTGAGCTACGCAGCGGCGCAGTGGCGGCTTGCTGCAGCGAGCCGCCAACCATAATGCCGGTAATAAAGGCAGCGGCGGTGAGAAGGCCAAGCGCAAGGACAGCGCCAAGAATAAGCAAAATCAGCATGCGACGAGGGAGGCGAGAGCACTCGCGCACATCCTCAAGTGACTCTTCCTTACACGTGAACAAACCATCTTCCCCGTCATCCTCGGACGAGGCCTGGACAAAATGTGCCATGGGAGTTGACTCGGGAATCCACGGCTCGCACTGCGAGGCCTGACGCGGTCGGTGTTGAATGAATGAGTTCGACCGCGACCGCGAGGTTGACACCGATCGCGACCGCGAGCGATGGCGCTGCGAGTTTTCGCTGTGCCCCGCGCGACAACGCCGAGCCGGAGCACGCCCGAATGTGGCAAGCTTTGTGCAGGCAGAGCGAGCGTCGAGCGCGACGCAAGTGAGCCGCACACGACCGTGTCGACTCCAAGGTCAATGAGCTCAATGCCGTCGGAGCAGGTCGAAGAGTACGACGACAATGTGTTGCAGATCGGCTGGTGGTCGTAGGCAGCGAGCTCACTCTCGTTGCGCCACTTGACAAGAAACTCCAGGGTGGCCGAGTCTGAGGCACCTATGCCGTCGCGTGCATGGACCGCAAGCCAGAGATAGCAGTACACAAAGGTCGAGTGCGCAGCATCGAGTGCAGCCTCGGGATCAACGTCGACCATGTCAACCCCGAGACTCACCGCCGTGTTCACCACAACCCGCAGAGACGGGGTGTTGCCAGAGCGGGCGCAAAGCTCAAGCGCAAGGCCGAGGAAGCGGGCAACCGGCGGGCCGAGAGCAGTGTGGGCCTCGGCCGAAGCCAACGCGATGAGCGCGGCGAGGACCTTGGGCTCAACGCCGCGGCTGCAGGCAGCCTCCAGCAAGGTTTTGCCCGTAACCAGGCCCCGCGCTGTTATGGCAGCCGATGCCGAGCCCGAGCGCGCAAGGAGAGCATACGCCGCGGGTGCTCCGCCGGAGCGAATGAGGGTGACGACGGCATCAACCAGAGCCGGGAGAGTCCAGTGCTGCGGCGCAAGGGCGTCGAGCATAGTCTGGCTTTCAACATTCGGAGGCGTGGCGGCGGTAGCCAGCCAGACAAGCTGGCCGAGGTGCACGTGGCGAAGCGGGAGGGCAGTGGCCGCTCCGCCAAGGCCATAGTCAAATGAGAAACGGTAACCGGTGCCCGACGCCCACGATGAGCCCGGCGACGAGTTTGAGCCGCCGAACGAGCCACCGGCCATCGACGACGCCGCGGCACTGTCGTCGTGCGACGTGTTGTGGAGAGGTGCCCGAAAGTACTTGGACGACTTGGACGACTTGCGCGAGCGGCGCGAGCCGTCGTTCGATCCATCCGACCCGTCAGAGTCATCAGAAAACCGCGATCGCTTGTCACCTGGCGAGGGCATGTGCAGCTGGCCCCAGAGTCTGCCGTACAAGGTAAAGATGCGCGGCTCGGACCTGACGCAACGCTGGGTAAAGTGCTCGCCAAGCGAGCTGCGGTTTGCGACGACAACGGCGACTTCGACGTAGAACGGGATGCAGGCGGCGACAGGAGGCGGAAAGAGCATTGGCTTGCCCGAGCTGGACGCGTGCGATGGGGTGAGCGTCTCCGCAAAGTGTTCGGCTTGCTCGAGCACCACGTCCTGTGAAAGGACAAGGGCAATGTTCAGCGGCCCGCCGCGGACCATGGTCGCGGCGTTGGAGTCGGCCGAAACATCAAAACGCCTGCTGCCAAAGACAAGCGTAACCGAGTCGACGACCGAGGTGATGGCGAGCGGACCGACGAGCGCAGCTGAGATTCGCATGGCCTTCACCTTCATCGACCAGCCAATGAGCGACTTTCCCGACGCGTCAAGCGTAGCGAGCGTCGGCAGGACTTCGACAACCGCAAGCTCGAGCGCATCCGGATCCTGGTTGGGAGCTTCCCGCGGCATCCGTCCACTGGCAAGTGAGTTGAGAAGCGCCGAGGTGAGGCCGGACTCGTGCTGCGAAAAGTTGGGAACCACAGTGAGCGGCATCGACTCCCACTGCGAGACATCGAGCTGGCTGGCGTCGCCTTGCGACAGCTCGAGGCCCTCGAGGAGTGCGAGAGCGTTGAGCGGTGGCGGTGGCGGCGCCGGCGACGGCGGTGCCGGCGGTGACGGCGACTGCACGCCACTCAAGCCGGGTCCAACATACGCCGTAACAATGAGAATGCGCGCACGGTCGAGGACGGCAAAGTTCGGCGGCATGCCGGGCCTTGTTGACGACGCCGCCATCGACGAGACCAAGACCCACGAGTTAAAGTCCTTCGAAAAGACCTTGAGCCGAATCGGCGCGAACGGCGTGTTGGTGCAGAGCGCGGTCGAGAGTGCCACAAGGAGCGCGTTCTCGTTGGCAAACGCTGCAAGATTGCCCTGCCACATGTGCCAGTCGGCCGTCTCAAACGAGGAGTTGCGCAGGTCAGCGTCAAGAACAACAAGCAGCGAGTGCTGTCCCTCGTCGATTAGCGACGTTGGAACGATCGAGAGCTTGGACTCGGCCATGCTTGCTAGCATCTCGTCACCGGATGCAATCGACGGCCCAGCACCAAAGTTACCAGAGGGGCGCACCCCCATCTCCTTGCTCGTCGGCGGCGAGGTGCCAGGCGAGTGCGGCGGCGGCGTGACCTGCTCGGGACCATCGTCGACAGCCAGCCCGATTTGCGGCAGCCTATCATTGTGTCCGGACGGAGTGGACGGCTCACCACGAAGAGCCCTGCTCGACGTCGACGTTGTCAGTCGCGCCTTGCCTGTACCCGCGGCGCTACGCTGCGCAGCATCAGCAGCAGCCTCGGATTGAGCGGCGGCGCGGCGGACCTCGAGCTCTTCGGGAGTGAGCGAGGCGATGTACCGATTTGCCGACGCAGTGTTGGTAAAGAGTGCGTACGGCGATGACTGGGTGACGACGCGGATGCCAGGGGCAACGAGGGCGTCAAAGTGGAAGATGATGCCCTGAAGCGGAGCCCGAGAGAGGCGCAGGGTGCGACGGATGTCGACGACGTCGATGAAGCCCTTGGACATGACCAGCGAGTCGGGCCGGACAGCAACACGCATGCCTTCAACCTCGAACCGAGTCCCATCCTTGGTGATGTATATGCAGTGCGAGTCGGGAAGAGTTACTGCCTCCAAGTTCTTCGGCAACGCCACGCTCGCTCGCCACCGCGTTGAGATCACGCACCCGGGGTGCGACGTACCCCGCGAGAGCAGCTCCAGCCGGGGCGAAAGGACAATCTCTTCCATCCTAACCGTGGAGGAGAGAGGAAGAGAGAGAGAGAGAGGTGATGATAGAGGTGGAGGTGGCAGCTGCAACCACGGCCGCAGCCGCCTCAGGTGTTCATCCCGGGGGAGCATGCCGCAAGCGTTGCAGCTGACTTGCAACCGAGGATCCAAATTGGCAGGGGGGGGTGGGGGGTGGGGGGTGGGGAAGGGGGAAAAATATGTTGGGCGGGGTCTCCTGTCTGTTGGCTTTTCACTTGGTCTTGGCCCCCTTGGCGGCACCCTTACCACCCTTGCCAACAGCCTTGCCACCCTTGCCACCCTTGGCAGCCTTGGCAGCCTTGGTAGCCTTGGCAGCCTTGGTAGCCTTGGCGGCACGAGCCTTGCGCTGGGCAGCACGAGCCTTGCGCTTGGCGGCACGCGACGGGGTCGCGCGAGCCTTGGTCTTCCGGCTCTTGCCCGCGGCGCCGAGGGCTGGCGAGAGGTCGAGGAACGGGTTGTGTGCGGCGATGCGGCGAGTGACGGCGTCGCGGGCAGAGAGCTCAGCGCGCTGGCCAGGGGTGAGGACGCGGGTAGAGCCTGCGGCAGCGGCCTTGGCACGGATGGAGGACTTTGCGGCCTTGCGGGCGGCGCGGAGGGCGCGGCGGGCCTTGGCGCGGGCCGGCGGCGGCGAGAGGGCGGTCGGGTGGATGACCTTGTAGATGCGGACCATCCAGTGTTCGGTGGTGTAGGCCTCCTCGAGGTAGCGGAGACGGATGTTCTTGACGCCGACCTCGACTCCGCGGGCGCGGTCATAGCCGGCGGAGCGGTAGGGGTCGGTCTGTTGGGTCCCGAATCGGTAGTAGCACATCTTGTACATGAGCGAGCGCTTCATGGTGGGCGAGGCCGAGTCGTCAACCGCGTAACGGCCCGAAACCGGCGACATGTAGTCGGCCTCCTTGATGGATGAGTCGACTGAGCCAGAGATGCGGACCATCCACAGGAACTTGTTGATGTCGTCGGACAGTAGCCGATGACGCCGCCAAAGACCACCAGGATGTAGTCGACGTCGTGCTGGCGTAGGAGCGGGTAGGCTGCGGTCTCGTTGGAGGCCATCATCTTGCCGACTGTGGCAATGTGGGTGTTGTTCCACGTGTTGTTGTCGACAAGCGTCGTCCGGTTCGCCATGGCCGCAATCTGGTACCCGTAGTCCCACCACGACATGATCTTGGCGTCTTCCGGCGTGTTCATCCGCAGCCAGTAGTACGCCTCGCGGAAGTCGTCAAAGTTGACCCGCCCGGCATGACTCCGCGTCGACAGCACAATCGACGGCTCCGAGTATGCTGCCTGCGAGACCCAAGTGCAGTGAACCACATAGAAGACCAGAAGAAAGGCAACGACGCAGACGACGCCTATGGCCAGGCCGCGTGGCGGCGCCGGCGTCGCGCCCTTGCTACGCTGTTCCTCCGCCCGCTTCTCGCCCTTGTCGTCGACCGCCACAAACGCCGCCAGGTACGTGTCGAGCAGCGACGTGATGCCGATGGACGAGAGAAGGCAGGCAACGGGCGCCACAACAAGAATGAGTCGGACCATGACCGAGGCAAAGTACACGGCTGTGACCGCGTACATGATGAGGAAAATCCCACCGTCTGACGGCTTGGAAAAGCACACGTACGCGCCGATGGGCATAAAGACCGTGAGCAGGTGCAGGTCCATGAAAAAGTTGGTCCACACCATCGGCTGGTGCTCCGAGACAGACTTGGTGATGGCCATGTGCTTGCCGAGCGGATCGAGGAGCGAGAGCAGCCGGCCCGAGGTGCCCGGCAGGACCGAGGCGAGAAGCAGCGCCGCAAGGCCACCCACCACCAGGCCGACGCCCGAGACCTTGAGAAAGGCGCGGAAGGTCGGTGGCGACATCTTCGACTGGAGGAAGAGGACAAGCATGAGGCCCTGCATGCCCACAAACACGCCCAGAGCCGCCATGTGGTCTGCAGTCTGGACCGGAATAAACAGGATGTTCTGCAGCGACATTGACGCGAGCGTGCCCACGACCCAAAACGTCGAGTACGCTACGTACAGCCGCCGCGAGAACCGTCCCACAAGGATCATGACCACAGTGTAGAGCGGAATGAGGTTGATGATGAACACGTAGCCGCCCCAGGACGCAACCATGTAAAAGTACGCCAGCGCAGAGACCACGCCCCATGACAGCGCACCGGTCCGCACCGCACGCATCCACGAGTAGAACGTAAAGAGAAGCGCAAAGATAGCCACAGCCTCATTGTCGTACGATCCCGCCACCGACCGCTGAATGTAGCCCGGAACAACCGAGATGAGCGCGGCGGCAAGGAGGCCAGCCGAGTACGAGTGGAGCTCGGCAATAGTGGCATAGGCGACGAGCGAGGTGAGCGCGGCAAAGACCGGCGCCAGATACACGCACACCAGCCTGATCTCCAGCGGACCAAGGAGCGAGGTGATGACGTAATGCGCAGCTCCAGCGGTGACCATCAGCCCCGGGTACACCGTCGATCCCACAACCCGACCAAGCGGGTACCACACCATGGGATCGAACCAGTTGTGCAGATCGTAGAACGAGTGCGAGGTCAGATACTGCGTTGTCCGAAAGTTAAAGTAACTGTGCACAGAGCGAAGAGAGGAAAGCGTGAGAGAGGGACATGGCTGACTACCATGAGCAAACACACACACACACACACACACACACACACACACATAGATATAGGTGTATATATATATATAATATGTATGCCAACGTACGGATCAAACTCATGGATGATGCTCTCATACCGCTGAGTGGCAAAGAGTCGCACAGCCACAGCGAGGACACAGACGAGAAAGAGAATCGACGGCCGCAGGAGCGGCAGCGTGTCGGTGAGACGCATGAAGCGAAGGCAGCGTTGGAGAGGGGGGGGGAGGGAGGGGGGAGGGGGTAGGAGGTAGGGAGGGTTTAGGGTAGG